GCCAGCCATCCATCTGTATGACTTATGCTCCCTGGAGCAAGAGCAAGGTGTTTTTTGATAAGAGGTATCAACGACTCAGAAGTTCTCCCATTTTCTGGACATGCTTCGAACCGTATATCTGCTGATACATTTGCAATCATGCCAAGTAGCCCGTGTCCATCCAATTGCGTACCTCTTTAGTACTTTCGGCGTAAGAATTCAGCCTCGTCAATTTGGACTATTATCCCTGGACAACCAATCAGGTCACGATCTTCTTGAGCGGATACAAAAGAAGATGTTATTGCTTCTCGTAAACTACCGTAATATTCTGCTATAGTAGCATGAGAACAATCGCTTTCAGCTGCAGCCCTTTCGTAGCTTAAGTCCTGAGAAAAAGCGAACATCAATCGCAAAATGTTCCTCAAAGGCAAGCGCAACCACGTTCCGGATGCTGCGCTTCTTTCTTGAGGGCGAGAAGTGTGATTGGCTTTTCTGGGACATCGGAATGTACCGGGCGTTTTATTTTCATTTTACGCTTTCATGCAGGCATAACTCACGAACGGTTAGTGCTACAGACTTCAGACTTGAACCATAAGCTTATCTAGATTGCACAACGATAAGTTCAAGTGCGAAAATTTTTCCGATTTCAGAAAATGACCTTTCAATGTCAATTAAAGGTCAAATAAAGAATTGACCTTGAATAACCTTGAGCACTTGAACTTATCGTTGTGCAATCTAGATAAGCTTATGGTTCAAGTCTGAAGTCTGTAGCACTAACCGTTCGTGAGTTATGCCTGCATGAAAGCGTAAAATGAAAATAAAACGCCCGGTACAAAAGACTCCTCTAGATAGATAAAGTTTCATTGGAACAAGATGTTGTTGGCAAAAAAACGCTCGCTTTGCAGAAGGCCCTGTTTTTTTATAAAAATTCGAATTTTGATGAAAAAAAAATTTTGTGCATGTGTACATCATGCTGGAGTTGTGTATAAAGGTGTATAGATCTCGACAAGATCTATTTAATAAAGTTATCTAGGGTGTGCTATCTATAGTGGTTTCTGAGATATAGACTCTTGCCGATCTCTCCGGAAGTAGATGTTTCCTAAAAAACATTTATACTGAATACTAAAAAATTTGCTTATATGACCAATGACATTAGTGCATTCGATTTTCTCGATAAAGTTAGATATCTTACTCATGTAAGCGCTTGATCTTTGCCTTTTGACTTTTTCATTGAATTAATTAAACTAATTATATACGCCCTCTATCGATTATTGAATTTATATTTTTGCTTGTTCAAAATCATCTCAATGCTTATTTGCTCATATGTTTTTTGATGTTCAAATAGACCCAGCCCCTGAAATACAAGTAGTAATGCGAATCGGATACTTTCTGAGTTAGTATTACCGATACTTCTAGCCTTTTCACAACCAATTATCTGCCCTTTCCCAAGCCATTCATTAGCTCGAAAAAATCGACTCAAATTTGCAACGAAGCTTGATATTTTTATTCAATATTGATCAATAATTGTAATTAAACTGATTGAATGCGTTTAGGTTTTAAACTGTTAAAACTCTCTTAGTTCAATGACTTGGTAATTGTTTGTATTGAACTTGGACCAAATTGAAGAGTAAACTTAGTTGGTCCAGCTCCATTGAATGTGATCCGTACAGAATCTGGATTTGTATTAACAACAATAATAACAAGATCGTTTGTTGGAGTCACAAAGGCAGTCATTTTAACACCATCCATTCGACCTTCATCGATTTGATGATAAATTCTTTGTGATCCTGGTTTCAAGAATTTACTGAAATGCGCTAAAGAATAGAACATTGGTTGTTTATAATATTCAGCTCCATCATCAGATACTATTATTGGAGCATCGACATAATTTAGTGCCCAATTAGGATTTCCTTTTGTGTCTAATGCGATATTCCAATCAACCCAACCAGTTGACCAGTGATTCAATCCTTCGATAACATCATACGCGTAAGTTTCGGCTCGAGTCCAATTACCAAGTTTGACTGAAAAAATTAAATGTGTCAATGTATAAGTTAGTTCCACGTGGAATTGGAAATTTTGCTGAATCAAATATAAATACCTATTCTCTCAAATAGTAATTTACATGAAAGTTTCAAAAATATTTTTAGACACAAATAAGGAAAGAAGAAAACGAAACAGCCGCAAATACTTTCTCGTAGTATATTATGACAATCGAAGGAAAGAGGGATTCTGATTAGATAACTGTCTTCTGAAGCTAGTCATGGAAGCAAAAATTGATTCAAGCAAGCAATCTGATTTACATGTAAATAATCGAATGAAATCAAAGCCATATAGTGAAATCTTTTGAAAAGGATCTTACCTCCAACATCTGGATCAGTTCTTATCCAGCATTCACATGCCTCGGTTGACATAAGGAAGTAATCAGGGAATTGCTCATGCACTTTGTTCAGCTCATCATAATAGTGACCGAAATACCAATGATAAGCTACTCCAGAAATATAACTAGCCGCTTCTTTATCAGACAAAATGCCTTTTGCGAATGAATATACTTGATTAGTGTCATGGTCGTGAATCATTAGTTTAATCTTATCTGGTCCATAACCGGCATCTTTCAATATTGGTCCTAAGTCTTTTTTAATAAAATCTCTCATCATCTCTGAAGTAAAGCCACAAGTATTCCAACCGTAGTTTGGTTTGAAACCAGACAGAGGCTCATTTTGTGGTGTTAATCCCCAGAATTCAACACCATGCTCTTTATAACTGTCAAAGAATCTGAAAGAAACACGAATACTTCAGCACAAAGACGAAACAAATTTATAATGTTCATACTTGACAAAATAATTAGCCCATGTTTTCCAATATTTGCTTCCAGGTTCACCGATTAACATCCCCAGTCCATTAGAGGCATTGTTAGTCTTAAGCCAAGCTGGTGGAGCCCAAGGAGAACCAAATAGTTTGAGATTATTGTTCAGTTCCTTAGCTTTTTTGATGTATGGAATCTGATGTTGAATAAATTTGTATTTTCAATAAGAACTCAAAGAACCATCACTAATATTTTGATGAACTCACCTTATAATTATGATCATCAGCAGCTAAAGCAAAGTGCTTCAGCTCAAAATCATCAAAAACATCATCATACGAATATGGACGATCAGAGAAATCAGAACCTCCAATTGGAACTCGGCAAACACTGTATTCGGCTCCATCTTTCCCAAAATAATCAGCAATCAAACGATCTTTTAAAGAGTCACTCGTTAGTCTATTGATGTTGATTCCAGCTGCATCAGTAAAGGCTCCACCAAATCCAATTATTGATTGAAAACGATCAAAGACATTGAGAGTTACTTTAATATCAGATGATTGGTTAACCTTAAGATCGGATTCGGATACAACTGATTTGGTTAAACGATAATATGATTTATCAGTTGTGAATATAGTCAATGATTGAGGTGATGAGAATGGTTCAACAGGTAAGGGATCACAATAATCATTATTACAAACACAAACAAAACTGTCTGTTTCTTCGTTCCTCTTCACTTGACAACCAAATGAACCAGATATCAAGTTCAAACAAAGAATGAAAAAAGTTACTGTTTTTATGAACATAGTGAGTGTTTATCTCACAGTGAACACAGATTTGCTATTGGACTGCTTATATAGTCGACTTTCTCATATCACATATTTTCATCATCCACAAATCTCGGTATTTAGTGATATGCGATATAATTTAGTGCATGAGTATTCGGAAAATTCATTTGAATTATGCATCACAACAATTTAGGACCGGTTCGATTTATGTGATAATATGTTATTAAAATATTGATTAAAACCTTATTAAAGATAAGAAATCGATAATTTGAGGCGTAACGTATTTTACTGACGATTCGATTCACAACTTTTTACATTTAGATCATGTGCTTAGATTGAAACCGTATCATAAAATTTATTATTCATTATTTAACTGCAATAAGAAGTTATATGATTAATGTCGGTGGTGAGGCCTGAGATTATTTTATCTCTCATAGATTTGTAAATCTAGATTGATAAGAAATTATCAAATCTATTTTTCTATTTTTGTTAGATCTGTGTTGTTTTGATGATACCTGTTGACGTTAGCTGTGGCTATCAACTGTGTTGCTAAACAAAATAACAGTTGGATTTGCATTAAACCCGCACAAAGTTATGTAATATAATTGAATAGATTAAAAATCGGGATTAGATGCAATACTAGATGCAGGCTAAATTGTTGATACCAAGAATTGAATCAACAAGGAATTCCGAACAATGTTTTATCTTAACTCTCTGTCGCGTTGCAGGCAAGGTTTCTTGAATCAAGATTTTATGCTAATCTTGGAATGAGATATAATCTTAAGACTGCTGTATGCTAACTCTGAAAAGATGAAGTTTTATCCTACGTAAGCAGTTTTTACTCACATTGAGTGACTACTAAATATATTAATATGTAACTGAAAAAATGATATTTATCCAACATATTGAACAAACAGTTTAGAAAATAATTAGTCCGAGCGAAGCAAATACTTTCCTTCAAATTTTCATAATCAATTAAATTAGGTTAGGTTTAAGAAGGTACAAGTTGCGTCGATTATTGGGGAATGTCTTGTATCCTTTTATGGAAGAAAAGTGATGTAAATCGAAGTCAAATTGATCCATTTAGATTTAATCGTGAATTGTGTTATAAAACCATAGAACCAATGGACCATAAAAAATAGTCTTGTGCGATACATCTCTAGTACAAAACTACGAAACATTTAACCCGCTCCCTTTTAACGCATTGCTTTTTCAGTTGTGAGCAAATAATGAATCAATAGCACACTGTACATTAATAGATGAAATGATAAATTCAGTGAGAGTTAGATTCTTATGGAAGATGAAAAGTAGTTGCAATCGCTGTAACCAGATGGCACATAAAGTTGTTGATTATTTTCAAAATAAATTGAGTTTTTTGCACAGACACAGAAATCATTTGAACCAAACTCGATATCAACTCTTTGATGAAACTTGCCCTGCACTTTTATTAATCTCACTCATTCGAGTTGACAATATTCTCGCATATACATGAATCTAATAAACCTGAATGATCCAATCAAGGATTGCTGCAAAGCAATTGTGTGCAAAATAAATTCAACTTTGACTAAATTTAAAAATTCAATTCTTATCGAGTAAAAGTTGAACAAAAATAATCAACTTTTTATAACAATTTATCAATGATTTTTTTTGTTAATATGATTTTTCGTAACTTTTTTATTCTTTTTTATTGTGATTTTGTTTCAAGTTTGGATTTCAATGCCAACAATTATCATTCCATGGATTTTACTTCTACAGTGTTTTCGCAGTCAGTGTTACCATCCTCATCAGAGTCAACTGTTTACAATTCAATGACAAAAAACTTGTCGAATCAACAATACTTCATCGTGAAGCCAAGTGATGTTGAAATTATCGAAGGTGATACAGTTACACTTCAGTGTCAAGTCGGTAATCAACTTGGTGCCGTCCAATGGAGTAAAAATGGTTTACTTTTAGGTAATTTTTGCAACAAACTTCCGTCGAATCAAGAAAGTTCACAAGTCCATAAAAATTTAGTTCCAATCAATGAACTGTCAAAAACAGTTTATTTCTCTAACAAAGAAATTTTCGATCGAAAATGAGATTTTGTTACAAAATGTTCTAATAGAAAGTGTCAGATTTTTTCCTTAAAACTTAACAAATTCACGAATATTCAAGCGAATTTCGGAGTTTCCCTTTTTTCAGTGTATTCATGAAATCAGAAAAAATAAAATTCTCGATTGTTGAGAAAACTTTTCAATGGACATTTGCACATTCAGTTTTCGCAAATCTTGTGCTTTCAAGAATCTAACTTCGAATTTTGTTTGCACAAATTTTCTCTAGGTTTTCGTGCTTTCATACCAGGAATGCCTCGTTACCGAGTGATCTCTGATTCCTCGAAAGGTATTTACAATCTAAGGATTACTAGTGTAACCATTGAAGATGAAGGTGAATATCAATGTCAAGTTGGACCTGCTCAAAACCAATTACCAATCCGTGCCTCGTCACATGTCACAGTTATAGGTAAGTGCAAAGAGAATCTTTCGAGTTTCGAGTTAGAACAAATTCAATTATCACTTGCTGTTAAAATAATTGGCATTCATCTCGAGAGGACTAATGCATTGCACAGCTTACCTTCATACGATGAGTGAAAGCATGTGAACGATCAAAAATTCATTCTCAATTAACTTACAAATTTGCAAAGATAAACTTAATTGACTTTACAGTACAATGTTTCAAAAGCAATTTAAAAAGTTTACAACAAATATTAAGAGAGAATTTCATTTTTAACCCAATTTTCCAGCAAAAAGCACCATGGTAATTGATTCAAGTTAAATGATAATGAGGTTATAAAAATATTCTGCTTCGCTTAGTCTCAAGCTCATCTCGTATCGAGTTTTATTCAGGAATCAACTTTACAATTACAATAATATATTCCAGCCTCAAATGCAAGTGACATTTTATTGCGAGTAAAACATTATTTTGTCACGTTTACTGTAGACTAAGTTAGAGATGTAAAGTGCTAATCTGATTCGAGTAATAATTCATGAGAAAAATTGTTATCATTTTGTATCAATTAAAATACATTTTCCATTTCCTAATTATTGTTACAATTAAAAGAATTGAAACATTAGAACAAAAAAATCGAACATAATTTTACTCTTTTTCTTTAATCAAGGGAATACTATTCAATCCAAATTACGAACAGAAATTTCAATTCCATCTCAAAATATTTTCAAACTATGAATGACTTTTGATGTGTGTTTGGTTGAACTTTAACTTGGACCAAATGACATGAAAATTGATTCAATTTTAACAGATAGAAATGTGCATTTGATCAGAGTTTATTAAAAAGTTATGAGTTGATATGAAAGTGTATCGAGTTTAGTCGGAATTCACTGGAAAAGTTTCAAGACAAATGATGATTTGAATGACAGTGATTGTCATGTTGTGTCAATCATGATTTACAATTTTGTCAACAAAATGAGAAAAAAAAGATTGCAAAAAATGCAAATTCGTGAAAAAAGAAAACCAGAAAAAAAGAAACTTCCAACAAAATAATCAATAAAACAACCTTTTTTCACTTTATTTCAACATCAATCGAAAAGTTAAAGTTTTGAAATGTCGAGACGTTCATCATGAACATGATGATTATCTGTATCATTATTTTCACAATTTCACATTTCATGTTCGCAAGAAAGTTAGTCTAGAAAGTATCTTCCGATTCTTGTTATTCAACCCTCGAAACAAACCCTGCTTCTCTTGTTACCTCGTAACCCATCATCAACTCGTTTTTTCACACTTTTCATCTTCTCCTTTCAGTGCCACCAAAAAGCTTAACCATCACTGGTTTTGTGTCATCCGAAAGTGATAATTCAGAGATTTCCTTTCCTTCAATTTTACCATCAACTTCAAGTGATCATCATATAGTGGAAGCCAAGGAATCGGAGAAAGTGATTCTCATGTGCATAGCCTCACCTAGTAAACCTCCACCAAGAATAAAATGGTTCCGTAGAAACATTGAACTTCTTCCAGGTAAGCTGAGAAAAGAAAGAAATAAAGTTAACCATTTCGTTAAACATGAAACCTGCATGCTATCCTTTGGTTGAAGCTCAACTGAATCATGTTGATTTATGTGAAAATGTTGATAAAGTTTGAAAAGAATAAAATGTTTTGGATTTTCTTTCTTTTTCTTTCTGGTCATCAAACATGATAAACAAACAAACGAAAACATGAGCAACAAATAACTGGTTAACCAAAAGAGAAAAGATGAGAAGAAGAGAAAAAAAACAAAAGAAATAAGGAAAAGCTGAAGAAAAACAAAATAATAGAAACATTCTTATGATAAAAAGCAAAGAGAGCATCTTTTTCCTATTGAAATTCAAACTCTCAGGAACATGAGTAAAGCATCATCATCTTCATCATCTTCATCCTCATCATCCACAGAAAGCAAAAGAGAAACAGTTCGAGTCTGATAAATGGGACAACAAAAGGATCTGCTTTTTGCCCTTTTATAATGTTTACTGTTTTACTTTTATTCTTGTGTTGTTTAACCATCATCTTGCCTTTTCTCATCCCTCATCCTTTTGTTGTCCTCAGATGAGCCTTTCTTTCAACGTTTACATTTCTTCGTTTTCCCTCTTCACAATTTTCCGATTTAGCTTTTACTGAGTGAACGAAGCGAGAAGAAGGTTTGTCTTGCCAACATCGAAATGTTCATCACTTTGATCGTCATCGTCAATGAGATAAACACTGAAATTCAATTGTTTGAAAAAAAAGAAAATTTTCTTTGAGAAATGATTAAAGATGAAGAATAATGAATGAATGAAAAATATAGATGAAATATCGAGATATAAAAGTGATGTGATCTATGATAATATTTAACCATTTTGATTGTTCATATTTTTCATTGCCTTTCAAGATGAACAACCGTGAATATGGAAAAAGTGAGATTCTTTATGTTCATTTCTTCTGTTTATCTCGAGTCAAACTCGTAAACAAAAACAATCATCTTTTTGCTCATCATCTTCACAAAGCTCTTCATCTGATCATCCATTTTCCTCTCATCTTCTTTCCATCTTCATCTTTTCCCATTCTATTCTTTCACCGACATTACACTCTGATTCTTTTCCTCATCTTTTCCCTTCCAATATCACTGTTTATGCAATAAAACCAACAAAGACCTTTTTGCTTTTTCCTTCAGAATCATAACTGAATTCACCTTTTTTTTGTCTGCATTTACACTCTCACTTTTAATATTATCATTATTATTAATATTGTTATTGCATTCTCTGTCATTCAATGATTATTATGATTATATTTGGTTTCTTTTTTTTCGCCTCTTCACCCATTCCCTTGATGCAAACACTAAAGTCTAATCAGACAAACAAACAAGAAGAGAAGGAACAGCAAAAAGCTCGATGTAACCTTAAATGAAGTCAACTTTTTTTCCCTTTTCTCTGCCTTCCATGTTACGCCTATTGCCATCAACCACCAACAACATTTTCTCATCACCTTTATCCATTATCCTCTTCCTGTGTCTCTCTACACTCTTACCTCTGGGACTTTATAGTTAACATATGACCCTAAATGACCTGAAACATTTTCCCATCTTGCAACCAGAAAAGGTCCAAAAGAAAACATTCACATGCTTCTCATCTTCATTCAATTTCTTTTTCTTGTTCTTCTTCTCAATAATTCTGATATTCACTGTTCAACTTTTCTGCTTCATCTTCATCTTTTTTTTTCTCTCATCTTTTTTCTCATCTTTTCCTTCCCCTTCGATGCTTTTCTTACTCTTACTTAGACTAACATGCATGTCACTCAACCTTTCCCTGATCTTTCTTTCAAATCCTTGCACAATATTATTATCTCAGTGGAATAACTGGGAGTGAAAAAAAGTCAGAGGTAGAAGGCGAGTGAGCTGTAAAAAGACAGTCAAAGTGACTTTTTATCTATCAATTTTTTCTCATCTCAACCCATTTTTTCACCCTCTTTTTTGTCACAACTCACTTGCTGTACATGGTTAGAGTCAGGAGCATATGAAGGCGCAGCCAATCGATGAAACTGATTGTCTTCCAATGAAGAGTATCACTTTTGCTTTTAATGGTTTATCCGATATTGTTTCCCCCTCTAAATGGTTCCTCCACAGATTTGCTACAGACAATCATATCGTCCTTTGTTATCATATTATCATCAACCTCTAAGCCTCGCAAGTGTTAGTCTAATGTATTTATCTGTTTGCTTTATCAAGCACAAAAGCAGATTATTGGTAAAGGCGAAGGACACAGAAGACAAAATATGTCGCCTTATCCATTCACTTTTAATCATCCATGTAATCACAGAGTTTTGATATATTCCATTGAAATTAAATGAATTAAATGAGGTTTGATTCGTGTTAATAGCACATTAACATCACCTTGACATTGTTCCTCTTTCACCGTTTATCAATGATAACTATTTCACTCTTTACCTTCTTCTCTGTGTCTTCTTCAAGGAAGAGGAAAAACAATTTGATTAGACAGACAAGTGAAGCAGGGAAAACAGAAGAAAAGATAAATTGACAAAAAAAGAATCAACTTTGAAGGGAAAAGACCAAACCAAAGAAGAGATTCAATATGATCACAAACACTCATTGATTATGTACCATCAATGTCAAAGTGTTGAAGCTCAATTCCAGTTGCCTTTATCCTTCCTCTTATTCACTCCCAGTGAGTGGAGAAAATATTTCATTGACAATTCTTTGAGCGAAAAAAAAGATATTCCTTCTTGTCCATGACGAATCATGATACAGAAGATTTTCCTTTTAAACTTGAAACAGTAGAAACTCTTTAACAAGCAAGTCAAGTTGAAAGGTCAAGAGAAAAGAAGAGAAAGAAAAATGTTTTCCAAATCAAATGTCTTTGTTTTACAATTGGAAGCGATGTGAAACTGGAAAAAATTGTTATTAAAGTCAAAAACAATCGCTTTCCGTACACTTTAATCATCATTTATCAATCAACTTCCATCAATAAACAATTTCAGCATTCAATGGCAATTCAAATTCATTGAATAGCAAACTATTATAAAGGAATGAAAAAGGTTGAGATAATTTGGAATCAACTGATTGCAGTCTAATTGAAAACTGAATTTACTCTGAAAGTTAAATTGAATTTGACTGAAAACTTGTCCTGAAATAAATGCTTCAGATTTACTCTGCTCTTAACGATTGAAATCCCTTTTACCCATTGACACGATTCAACTCTTCTAACCTTTATACTTACCTGATCAAGTTTAACTGCATCTTGTAATATTGAAATGACCTTCTCAATCTAATCACAATTTTCAATGTACTTTTCAAATGTTTATTGGTTCAAGTTTAACAAGAATGAGCATCAACAACAACAGTAACAAACAACAAAACAAGAAGAGTTTTATGTTGAAAAAGTGTATTATAAAGAAGATGAAATTGTATCTCATTCAAAATATAAAAGCAAAAGAGAGTTTCCAATTGTTCTTCATCATTCTTCGTAAAAGAAAAACTCGTCTGATCTATCTGAATATATACCATTTTCATCATGTATATCAATTGGATTTTCATCCTCTTTTTACCCTGTTCCCTTCGAAATTCAGTAAAAAAAGAAAGAAAAGATGAAAATAAAGAGAAAAGAGAAAAAAACTGTTTGATTGCTTTGAGTTCACTATTTTTATGCATTTTGTAACTTACATGCAAAATTTGTTCACAAGAAGAAATAAGTTGCTCGAGAAAAGGTTAAAATGATTGAGAAAAGTAGAATAGCAAAGTTTTAGAAGAAAAGAAAAAAAGGCAATTCTTTTCTTCTTCCAACAAAAAATCTCTTTTGATTCAATATTTCATTTGAATCATTGAACGAAATGCAACTTTACCTTTTTAATGGCCAATAATGTAATTGATGATTAGAATTGAATTTGCAAGAGAAATGACAAAATTTTCAGTTTTGGCAGTTGATCAACTATTGCTATGAATCAATGAATTTGCTAATTGATTGTTCAATTGGAAAGAAGCGCAATTGCCAAATGATCGTTATCTTTGTCTTTCCAATGATAAATTTGCTCTTTTTTCATTTGGTGCAATTGACGTTGCTCATGTTTTCACCGGAAAAGACAAAAGATGGTGAAAGGAATGATGAAAGGAATGATGAAAAGAAACGATAAAAATGTGTGTTGGGTAAACTTGCATTCTTAAACCATTAGAGTTCATCTCAAGCTAAACTAATTATGAAAGTGTGCGCAAAGAGCAACATCATCATCATTAATATTATGCAAAGTAAATCTCTGTAAAGTTGATAATAACTTGATGATGATCATTATCTAACAATGTTATTATGATGAATTTATGAAAATAAAATGATTCATTATTAGATAAAAATATGAAAGAAACTGGCAAATTTACTATTCATAATATTAACTGATATTTTGATAGTTGATCCTTTGAGAGTTGAGGCTACTTGGGACTTTGCTTTTTTTTATCATTATCATTATTCTGTGCTAATCTTAATGACTTTCAGAGGCAAACTTGGAATGCAAGTGGAAAGGGGAAAATTGAGGAGAAAATATGACAAAAAGTAAATGGAGCGAAAAGAGAAGAAGAAGGAAAAAAAGTAAGAGAAGATGAACAAGATGAAGATGGAAGAAGATGATGGATAAGAAAATTTGTGAAACCAAAGATTTTTCGACTTCTCTTGTTTCGAAACTTTTGCCTTCTTTCATCCTTCAGGCCTTCCGGTTATTCACAGCATCCAGTCACCAATCTCAACATAAATGATAAATATCACTCGAATGATATGATAATATTTTTCTCTTCTCTTCTCTTCAAGATATAAATGATTAACAATGTTCACTCCCAGCTTATATTATCTTCTTTATACCAGTTTATCCATTCCCAGGGAATTTCGTTTTTTTCTATCAACTGCTAAATTCTTAGTTTTTTTCTCCTTCTTTTGTTTGCCTTTTATCATTTCTCGACTCACTCCCAATGGTTAATGTAACATAAGCTCATTGCGTTATTATTTTTACAGTCAATCAAGATAATCATTATTAGAGGTTAAATTTCAATTGAATGTGTCACTTTGTTTAACTTAGACTTCGAACTAAGAACTAAGTGAAATTGCGTTTTTTATTCTTTTCCCTATTCTTTGCTTCATTGTGTTGCATCATTTTCACTCCCAGAGGGTTTCAAGTAATATTCATCATTATCATGAGTCTTCCAACTGTCCATTGGGTAATATTGAAAGAGACAAAAGTATATATTTATATCTTTAATAATATCAAGATAATGTCAAGTCGAGCAGTTTAATCGTTTAAAGGTGCACAGAACTAAATAAAAACCAGAAAAAAAGTAAAATATCATTTCACTCATAATGGTTCAAGTTTATCGCACATTTTTTTTCTCTCTTCTCTTCCCTTCCAAATTACATCTTACATTTCTTAACTAATCTTTTCTCCTTCTTCTGGTTCATCTTCATCCAAGCATCCCTACTGTTTCCTAAAATATAATAATGATAGTAATAATAAGCTTCATCATCACTAACAGAATTAACTTCATCATTGTGATTAGAGAGTAAAGTTCAAGATAACTTTTTAAACAAGTGCTATAATGAGAGTGAGGATAAGCCAAGGAAAAGATGAAAACAATTGATTTGTTGTTGCACCAACATTGAAAAGTAAATGAAGAGAAAAGGTGAAAAACGTTTTTTTCAATGAAAGACGAAAGCAAGTTTCAATAATAATCACTAATAACAACTTTTATTGTATTATCATTATTGTATAAATAAAATCCCCAATTGTGACCAATCAAAGTTAATCCATGTAAATCGTTTTTTTATTTACCACTCACAAGCCGTAAGTGAAGCCTCTTGAGGCGTAATTACGAGTCGCATCAAAGGGGATTGAAGTCAGGGAAGGGAGTTGAGGATGAAGTCAGGGAAGATGAGGAAAAGAAGAAGATAAAGTGTAAAAAAGGCGATCAATAAAAGAGGAAAGTAAAAGCCTTTGGAATGATTGGTGAAACATGGATTGATGCTTGCCTCAATCGATTAAGCAAAGTAAACTTGACAGGAAATATTTGACAATTATCGTAACTATTATTATTATAAGGTTGGTTCAACACAATGAACACTTTGTCTTGATTATGAGCATCATCACCATTATTCAATCCAAGTTCACCATCAATATTCCAAGTTTAAAGTAAATGTTCATTTCTCTTGCAGAGAAATATTTATTTTAATTGTTCCATCAACATTGAACATTTTTTCCAAACTTTACAGTTTTCTTTTCAATCTTTTCTTGCAAACTCTTTTGTTACAACGATTATCGTTTTCTCAGTTTGATGACTTTTTCGAGCCAACTTTCTTCCCTGTTTAGACAACAATGAAATTAATTGAAAACTTTTTTTTCTCGCTTTAAAAGAATGGAACCTCTATGAATCATCAATCCATTAATTAGTTGCAGAAGTTCATTACATGACTTTTATTTCAAGAAGTTGAATTCTGTAAAAAAAAGTTCTTTGTTTCCATTCTTCAGTTGAGATTAATCGTTACTCATTGGTAAAATGATTCTCTAACTTGCCTGAATCAAGGTGAAAAAGAAAAGTGAAATTTTGGAAAAGCAATGATTATCGAAGAAAAGTGTTGAAAAAGTTTGGAAAAGTAAAGTTTGAAAATTGTTTGATAAAACGGAAATAATCAATAGTTTGGATCACCAAATGATTACCAGAAAGAAACGGAAGTTGAGTGTAAAACAAATCACATCCCAAACTGAAACCATGAACATGATTAACGAATTTTCTCTGTTTTTCCATTTCTATTAACATTATTCTCATCCCTTTACAGAAGCATCACGGACTCATCACAATAAATCGATTGTCAACAATCGATATACACTTTTCACGACGGAAAGTTCAATCATTTTGTATCCCAAAAGTGAAGGAATTTATTCATGTGAAATCGAACATGCAGGTTTGAGTAAACCTCTTCGTGCCTCTTCCATGATAAACATTTTCAATGAACCAGGACCACCGATAATTGAAGGTTATTCAGAGGAAAATTCAGTGATATTGGGTGAAACAGTGACTCTTACCTGTACTTCCAAAGGAGGTTATCCACATCCAAAGGTTTATTGGTTTCGAAATGGCCTTGAACTGGATAAGAGTTTTAATGTCAATTCGCGTAATGATGTGATCAACAGCTATTCTTTTATACCTTCAATTGATGATAATCAAAGTGTTTTCAAATGCTCAGTAACAAGCAATTTAACCAGTAAACCTCTTGAAGCTTCAATTAAATTAAATGTTTACTGTGAGTTGAAAACTCGAGAAACAACTTTATTCATTGAAAATCATTTGATAAATGCATTAATCTTTTCCATTCACAAATTATATTCACAATTAAATGACCAGAAATTTGCATTCTACTTTCTTCAAGTGCAATACAGAAAAGGGTTAAACTTGAATTAAGTGACTTTTATTGACTCTAATTTACATTTCGATAAAGATCACAGTTCCAAGTTAATGTGGAACAATTAGAAAACAAAAATCAGAATATTTCAAGTAAACTCAAAAAAGAAAATGCAAGAAGAAAGGTTCGAAAGAATAGAGTACAACAGTGCAAAATGCCAGCCTTGAGCTCTGAGTTCATGGGTTCAAGTATTCCAATCACTCCGTAACGATTGCAATGATTATTGTACAATCAGTCGGATTACTAACTAACAATAGAATTCGCTCTCTTTTGAGTTGATCGAGTGATCGAAGAGAAGGTTCGAAAAACGCAATTTAATGTCGAGCAGTATACATAGATCAATGATATATGCTCATTCGAACAGCCTTTTTGTTTATTCACTTGTTTTGTATACTCATTACCATACTATTACAATAACATTCAGAAACATTGATTTTGATACTTTTTTTCTAGTTCGCTTTTGTGTTCATTTGCAACCCCAAAGATTTTAAGCGAATAAAATGCTCATAAACTTAATTGCTCTACAATGAATAGATTGACTTTTTATTCCAAGCGATTGAAGCACTTCCTCCGTGAATGGGCAAACAAGTGGAGGCGAGCTTAAAGACTGAGGTTAGAGTAAAAGAGCATATTGGTGAATCGGATGTTAGGATTATTTTGGAAAACGATCACTCAGAAATGCCTAGGATGAATGGTGAACAATAAGTCGGTACCCAGTAAATGTAAAAGCTCTATGAGTGTTTATTGAAAAACGAAAGTTTGCTTTTCATGAGTCAACAAACGATTTAAACAAATGAGAAGTCATTGAAGCTAAAAAGACAACAATTTGTTACTTGAACTAAAATCAATAATCAATTGCCTATCGATTGTCACTTTGATGGAGACAAATTTTCCGCTTATTAATTCTAAATAAAGTCGATAGTTTGTTTCAGAATAAATTTTATTCAATTAGCTTGAAAGGAAAGAGACGAGACTGAGGATAATGAAGGAAGATAGAGTAGCTTCTGGTTAAACCAATTTTTCCATTAAGATTAGTGTTCGATTGCAAGACTGGAGACTGATTCAGCACATTTCAAAATGCTATTTCACTTCAATCAGCGACTGTCAATTGAACTTTTCCCTTGTACTCACCATTATAATTATCAGTTATCCATTAAGAAAGAATCCGTCAGTTGCTGAATCAATTTCGTTAACATGGCAAAGCTATTTTGAAAAATTGAGTTTAAAGAGTTGAGGAGAGAAGAGGAAAGTTTCAAGACTAAACAAACAAACAGTTTATTCAGTTGTTCAATGAAATGTATAATGAAATGGCCAGAGAAACTCGAGATTCTTACAATATTGCAACTTCATTGTTGCTATTGATTCTCAATTTCAATTATTTTTGCTTCGTTGATCAACTCGGCTAATTTGTAAACTATTCCTTGTTTAACCCATTCCTCTCATCAGAACCCCATTCATCACTTTCTTCCAACGATCCAAGTGTAAAGTGTAAACATCTTTTTCTCATCTAATCTTTCATCAAATGATTAACCATGTTTGGAATGGAATCACAATTTAATTGCAAATCCATTCAAGATTATCTTTCAAATAGATTCTCTAAATTGAGACAAATTAGTACAAACTATTCGTAAAGTGTCAGCTAATGAGTGACACTTGGTGATCTTGAAATGAATATTCAGACCTCTCATTAACCTTTATCATTCTTTTTGCTTCATCATCGACAACTTTAATCAGATTCATTTCATCCTCAATGGAAATTAATCTACTTTTATTTCAATCATTTTTCCCCATTCATCAATTCTTATCCATTTCCATCATGTTTTCCATGTTAACTCTCTTTTATTGAAGCTTCTTCATCCATTTCCTATTGAATTATTCTCAGCCAAAATGTTGATTCTTGCTCTACTTTTCCTCATCTTCCAAGTAAAATGAAGTTTCCCACAAAATCATGATTCATTGGTTTTCCTTCTTTTCTCCATTTTCAAGGTAAACTTGTCATTTCGAATCAATGCCTTTTGAATTTTGATCAACATTCTAAAGTCGCCTCATATTCATTGGTAATCAATCATCAATTCATTTACCGAGAACGGAATAGATGATTATCTAATTGCATTGAGACTAAACAGTAGACTCATTTCCACTTTATGCAAACGAACAAGAAATAAACTCCAAACTTATTGAATTAAGTAGAACATTCAGAATTAGAAAACTAAAAACTTCATCGAATCAACGAATCAGCTAAACGTTCATTGTGTGTCCCTCCATCCATCCAAACGTGATGTCACCATAAAGTCGTACATTCTAACTTCTATCATCATTCACGTTACAAAGAAAAGAGAAACTTCGATCGCTAAATCCTTAAAGTAATTGAGTTTTACAAGAAAATGGCTTTTTCTGGTCAACCATTCAATCGCTAGATGTAACTCAATCGCTAAAGTCAGTCTCGATTTAGCTTTAAATGCATAAGAACGTGATTTTTATGGAATCCTTTTGCTTTTCATCTGAAAAGAGCACATTTCTTGATGAACTGTAAACCTTTATTTCCTTAAAAGACGTTGGTGTTGACTCATGATGTTACAAGTCATCAGTAAAAGAAGAAGTTATTTGAAATAAAAGCAAACAAATGTCATCTAATAATAGAATATTTGAGCTAATGGTGAAAAGCATGGAATTTAATATCATAAATATGTGCATTAGGTTAGAAGATGAAAGAACATTTAACCAATTTCGATATGCAAGTTATTCGCTTTTCTTTTCCATTTTAACCACTGACCATTGACAACAAGTAAACAGTGAAAAGCCAATGATAAACTATTCTTATTCAAATGTTTCCATAGTTTAATAAAATGTACAAAAGTGAGTTTCACCAAAAAAAGCATTCACAGTTTGAACATTTCATTTGATCACTTGATAGCCATTTTAAATTTATGAACAAGACAAGATATTCAGAAAACTCAATAGAATTGAAAGCGAAATAAATATTCAAATATTATCTTACAGAGAGAAGTTCCAAATTGGATTCAGTGCCAATAAACAAATGTTTCAAGTTGCAGTTACTCACGTTTCGATTCACATTAGCATTTGAAAGTCATTCAATTGGTCAAGTTTCATAATCCATTAAAATAGACTTTAACTTTTCTCAAAAGCTGGGTCACCTTATGGACAAAACTGGACTCATAAATTATTCTGAAATCAGCATGAATTTCTTTCTATTCCAACAGAGATGCACTTGATGCGCCTTCATTAAATTAATCAAATTACACCTTGTTGGTTATTAAGTCCTTCATCATCTTCAGACTTTTACCATGAAAATTTTCACGTTTATTCATTCTAACCAAATTAAACTCTGTTGGCCACAAATTTGTTGATTCAAAAGGCAACACAAAAAGGCAATCTAAAAACTTCTGGTTCATCTTGATTCTTGATAATGAATTAGCTTGTCTCTCCTTCAATCCAATGCTTTTCCTTTTTCCATTTCCTTTTTCATTCCTTCTTTTCATCATTATTACCATCTTATCCCTTTTCATCCTCAACTCTTTACCACACACAATCCCATGAAGAAACCCTTGAATCCTCTATCACTGTTTATACAATCAATCGTTTACAATCCAACTTGGAATTTACTCAACATTCGTTTCTTCATCACCATCTCAACATCGTCGTTTTTTCCTCTTTTTCTGCTTTTCTTTTTTACTTCTCATCCCTTTCCTTTCACATCAAAAGTAAATTGCCTTTACTTGCTTATGTAGATTCTTTACTCAGATTAATCGCCTTCCCAAAGGAGTCTCAATGATTTTCAGCTTCATCCTGATGAATAGTGTATCTTTATTCAACGAAAGGAGAGAAAAAATTCTATCACAACTTTTTTCTTTTCTCTTTCTATTCTTTCTTTCCGCCCTCATTCCTTGTTCCATTTCTTTTCTTTCCCTGTTCCTTTGGTTGTTACCTTGCTTCAGTCGTCCTCCATCATACTCTGAGCAACCTTCACCTTGTTCAGTTTCTCATTAAATGCCAATAATTTGTCAAATCATGCAAGATTCTTGTTGCAACGAAAGACGAAATTAATAGCAACAACAAAATTAATCTGAATATCTTGAAATTGGTGAACCATGAATAACATTGACCGATGGTTAAGAGAACCTAAAAGCCACTGATAAATGTTACATCAATAACCTTGTTTAAGCCTTTTGTATGCAACTTGACAATATCAATGCGTTTAACTTTCATTTGCGATTCTCTCAACACTTAATAGCTTTTTCCTTCCATGTTTATCTCATTAGAACTATCAATAACTATTCAATCGATGCAATGTTAACCGAAATGTAATTGAATGATTAAAATGCGTAAAATAAAGATTAATACAAATTTTATTGGATAATGCAATTTATCCATTTGAAAAATGAACTTGGACCAAAAGATGCAAAAAGAATCAATCAAATGATCAAAGGTTCCACATTAACTAATCTGATTTTACCTTTTTGGTAATAGTTTTCGCTTCATGATACAGAATTTGAGTTTAACCTTCTTCTTCTCGATTGCTTTTTGTCGTTATTAGAGTAGAAGCATTTGTAAATGTCGAAGAATTGGAAAAGTAAAATTCGTTTATCAAATGAATGTTGAAAGTTGAATGAAGAATGAAAATTAATTTGTTTCATTTCTACAGTTTTACCTTCTAAAGTGATAATAAATGGACCAAGTGAAACTCGTCTTTACAAAACAATTGACCTCAAGTGTACAACTCGTCCAGGGAATCCGCCGCCTTTACTTACATGGCTTGTGGATAACAATGTTACTTCAGCAACGACCATTGAGACTCAAAATGATGGATCAAATGGTTGGATTATAAAGTCAACTTTAAGTTACACCATTTCACAGCGAATACCAAGTGTCACCTTTACATGTAAAGTTGAAGGATTACCACAAAAGAAGAGCATCTCAGCGAATCATCAAGTCAACATAATTTGTGAGTTACCATTCCTTAACTTTCAGAGAAAATCGAAAGTGAAACAAAAACATTTCCAAAACTGTCATTCATTTTGCACAAGTCGAGGTCGTCGACTTTTGTCAATGAAAAAATCGAAACCATTATTCTTACTCTTTGAAAACCAGTCTCAACAAATAGAGTTCAAACTATGAATAACTTCGTTATAACTTCGAGAATAAGTTTGCAAATGTTGAAAAGAATGTTCAGTTTCTTCATTTAAAAATATGCGCAAAGTAAATCAAATCTCTGTTTGGGTTTTCAACTGAAACCAACTTTCGAGATGAATTCTGTGTTGAGTGCCTGAGTTTACCTGAAATTACATTTTCTGTATTGTTTTATCATTTTTGATTTTATTTTTCTATTTTTATGAATGACTCCCAGGAACCGAGACAAATCAAAGTTAACACTTTTATAACGATTGGTCAAGGATAAAAGTTATGAAGAGTTAAATCTTAATCAGACAACAAGTTTCAGAAAAACATCTGAAAAAGTTGGAGAGAGTTTCATATATCTGTTTATTAAAAAGCACATTCGAGTTTCTCCCAAATAAACAATTCGACGAATGAATAATTATCAGTCATTTTATAAATACAAGCCATTCATTCATCATCAATGTCCTTCGAAGAGTCCGTCAAACTTTACCCAAAATGTAATTGTTGATCAAATAATGATTAATATCAATTGAAAAAGAAAAAGGTAAAAGTTCGTTTATTGTTCCAAGACTGTAACTCAACAGTTAGCATGTAATGGAATCGGAAAAATATTGTTACTCTATTTGAACGGTAAATAATGTTGATCGTTGTTTTACCTGTTCGTGGGTGTATAATGAGAGTTTATTCAAATAATGTGGTTAAGATGATACAAGACGAAAAGATATCAAAAGAAATGCTCAATATTTCTCCATCATTTTAACTGCAACCTGATATGAAGAGAAGTGAAACAAAACATTCACTTCCTATGGTTCACCAGTAATATGATGCTATCCTGCATCTTGCTTATTTACTTTTCTTCTTTTCCCATCATCATGATCATCATTTCTCTCATTTTTCTTTTGCTAATAAGTCCAACCAATCATATTTAAAGGGAGAGAGAGAAAGAAAGAAAGAAAGAAAGAAAATCCCAAAAAAGAAAAGAAGAAAAAAAATTATATTTATGAATGATTTTCGGTTTCATATTGAATCCCAAAGGAATTCTCAGTTTTCCAAGGATTCATTCACCATTGAACTTGTTTTTATTTGCAACTTGAAATACTTAATCAGACAACAATGAACCAAGTCTCCGATGTGCATATTATTATTAAACCATTTTTTATCATTTCTCCTCATTTCTAATGATCGCCCTGATATATGATTATGTTTACCATCGATAATAATATCAATGATAATAAAATGTAATAATAATGCTAATAGCTTTTCACTTTACCATTAAATAATTTTCTCCTTGATTCATTTACGATACTCAATAAAATAGGTAAATGATATGGGATAACGTTGCTCTTCTTTCATGATTGATGAACTTTTTCAGTCATCTAAATCACACACACACACACACACACACACCAAAAGTTATATTAGAAGGCAACAAATGGACAAAATTCAATTGGTATGAAATGAACGATACAAGTTTATCGACACTTTGATCTTCTTGGCTTTTACCATGTTCATCATGAAAGAATTTGTTTTGAATTTTTTTATTCTTTTTTCTCAATTTATCATGTTCTTTGGTCATTTTTCAATCAAATGCTTTTCACTTCATGAATAATTTCCATTGATATTTGGAAACTCAGTTTTTCCCAATTCGATTCCAATTGTTATCAAAAACAATCTGAATCATTTCCTGATCCAATTAAGCTTAATCAGAATTTCATTTGAATAAATGAACTTTTCATTGCTTTCAGTTTGTTCTGCCATTAAACGGAAAATACAAATTGACTGAAGAAGCAAATTATTTCTGGATTTTCTGTCATATTAATTAAAGTTGATTATTAATAGAATCTCGATTTTCATTTTTTTCATTTGCTTTTACTTTTGCTCTTCTTTTTCCGTTTCAATAGTTGATGTTGTTTGTTTGGCTTCTACTCTCTTTTAGTATCTCTTTTTTCAGGGATTTCCTTTTCTCTTTTTCCATGCAAACTTTTACTTTTATTTAAGTTAATAAATTTTGACATAAGAAGCATGAAAATGTTATCATGTCACCAGCAATTTTGTCTGTCAACGTTGAATTACATTCTGTTCACAATCAAGTCTCTATCAGCTCTTCAAGAAACGATGAAACTAGCTTTTAAACCATTTATTCAAACACAAAGATGCACAGATTCATAAAGACTCTTCACTCGTCAATTTCATTAACATGAGACGAAAGAGAAACCAGTGCAAAATTGAATTTAAAGTATCATTTTCCATGAAGTAACAAAAACAAGGACAGATTCGATGGAAACTTCAAAAACAAAGTTCCAGGTAAACTAATTTCAAAATTGAATGATAACTGATAATGAACAAAATGACAGCATGTTAATGTCAAAAGATGAAAGCACAGAACGAGTTGCTTCAGTTTCAATGTCAAATCTCATGTCCAGTTGAAAACACCAAGGAAGTGCAATAGGTAACAGAAACTTTTAAGGACCACAAATGTGATTGATTCCTGCGTCGTTGTGTTTTGAAGATTGATTTCGACTGAACTTGAAGACTGTATTACTTTAAAGTTCTTTGAAGTTCTTTGATTCAAAAGTTTGGATGTTATAGCCACTAACCAACAAATCAAACGGAGCATTAAACTAGACAAGAAATAATGTGAGGAAAAACCGACTCTCGCCAAATTGATAGTAAACTTCGTTTTGCGCTTAAAGTTTCAGAATTTTTCCTTTTTCAAAATCTTAAGTGGTTTGATTACCAGAATCAATCATTATAAGCTTCTTAAGGTAACTCTTAATATTTCCAAGTTTACTTATCGAGATTGGATTAAAATTCTGTTGATTCTGCTTGCAATTTGTATAGTTGGTTGATTTTGATGAAAAATGTATTGCTTTTTTACACTTGACAGTTTTTGATAAACTGATCAAAAGTTATGCGCAAAAATGGCCAAAAAATTCTGTTTACCAATTCAATAGTTAATAAAATTTTAAAGATATAAATGTCTGGGCTCAAGCTGTATTTCCCATTGAAACGTTTGAATTGTTTCCGGAGCATCAGCTCGAAATCTCACTATCAGTTGTAAATGGCAACTATTTTGCTGGAAGCTAAAACCGTTTCTTATGCTCAGAATATTATGAAGATTATTAGAGTCTGGGTTTAAGTTGGTCACTTACATGATGTTCATAAATGGCTCATAAAATAAGGTTACCTTCCCTTTCCTTCTATGCTGTCCTTGACTTGAAATATTGAGCTGCAAATACATTTTCCTCCCTTACCTCTTTCACATTTGTTGTCATACGAACCTAGTTAATCAGACTTTGGTTAATTAAAAGAACAACACACTTTTTTGTTGATAGTTGATTATCGAGCTTGTTGCAAGCTACAACTGTCAATTAAGCTGAGACACGAAATCACTACATTAATATATAGTGCATATTAATAAATAATATAAAGTCGATTCATATCATTTCATGAATCAGTTTGCATCGTTTCAATTGCATTTTTACAAGCCATTTAACATACAGTTTCATTGAAATAATTATTTAATGAATTTTTTATTTTGCTATAATATTGTGAATTGAACTTTTCAAGCTACAATAGTTGAGCTTGACTCATTAAAATGCTCATTTCTTATGGATTTTCCTGCTATTATCGTGTAAACATTATTTCATGGAAGAGCTTATTTCGATAAAAGATTCACATTCAATAAAAGCATATTCGTTGATTATCAGCTACAAAATATTGAAATATAAAATACTCCTCCCAGAAGTACTTTTGATACTTTCCTTGATTGGTTTCAATTGAGTTACAGCCATTGGATGAACAGACCCACATCATTTACAGATTCAGATGTTCCCAAGCAGAGAAAATAATTGAATAGAAATTCCTAATTCTATTCTATTGCAGTTCTTTTTACTTTTAGCTGGTCACCCATCTCCTAGTTGCAATATTAGCCTGACCTTTAGATGGAAATTTTCTGCATTGTATAAGGTTTAATCATGTGGACTATCTAACAAAAATGAACGACAAAATTGCATATGTTTTAAATTTGCATTATTCGCTTTTCGAAAGCAATAACGATCAATATTTTTTCCTTGAATTTCTTTTTTAAAAGGCTTTGCAAAGATTCTTCAAAATATTGCTTCCAGACTGCCTTTCCGGTATTTTTTAAGTTTACTTGGCATGCATCGCGAATATGCGAAAATTGAATAGTTTCATACTCAAATACAATAATAAAGCCTACTCCGAACTGAAAAGCAACTGATGAAATTGATGAGTGTATCCCAGCAAAGAGTATTTAAAGTTAGTATTAGTTATTCACAAATAAAAAGTTTGCTGTTAATTAGAATAATTAATTAACAAACATAAATAAAGTGCGTAAACAAATAGAAAAATAGTTAATGAAAAGTGTGAAGAAAGTTATCTTTTTTATGAAACGCATTTCAATTCATTCGCTGTTTTAACGGAATTCCTTGACTTTTATTCTCATGCTCAAAAGCTTGTTAGTCGATTTGACAAGATGCAACTCCACATTGATCTCAACTTAGAACAACTATCATCTCCAAGATACTTCATTTCTCGATTGACATTCGGCGAGTTTTCATTAGTTTCGTCAGCAACTCTTGCTGCTTTTGAGACTTGATCTTGATCTTTTTATCTCATTTCCAGAAGTTTTGGTTCTGTAATGAAACATTGTTCCAACGAAAATGAAACCGAAATTCACTGAAAAATAGAAATAGAATGACAGGTTGACAGAAACTGGCGCTAAAAGTTTAATGAAACTCGAGACGAAACATTGACAACAAAGTACCAGAACTCTTAGCCAAGGGAATTCCTCAGTTGAATAAA